CACAGCCCCATCCCGACCCTCCCGCTGCCCCGGGCTCTGCACAGCCCCCCCTCGACTCATGTGCCCAAGGGCACGACCATGTGTTTTTACACTCCCGTGATTCTGGTGTTTTCGTGCCAGAAATATGTCGGATCCCCGGAAACCCGTGACAGGAAAAGATTCCCAGAGCAGGAAAGGAAATGATTGTTTACGGTGACTTCAAGAAGAAAAGTTACAATGCAGTGCAGCTTTTATTAATGAGACTTTTCAGTCTGCAGTAAATACTTTGGGTTTTGCTTGGAAAGATCCAAATAATTACAGTTACGTAGCTGATAAGCTCATTGTAAATGTGATTTTTTACGGTTCTTTGATGCACAAGCCTATTACTGGAACGTACTTAAAAGTACATTATTTAATTATGTCTTTCGGAAGTTCTTGCTCTTACTTGGAGTATTTTAATCTTGCTATTCAAGTTGTCTGTCCGGACTCATCTGTCAGTTTCTTATGCAAACAAGATGATGCAAAATGTAAACTTTGACATACAAAAGCAGAAGTTACGGTATGAATTACACAACGCTATATGGATACAGTGTATTTCTGAGAGTGAGGGTTTATGGATTAGTTGGGGGTAGGGTCAGCTTTTTCTTGTGTAGCTCTTGCTAAGGCATGTTTCTTCTGGTCTGCAGAAACCTTAACCACCATTTCCAGCAGCTTTGACTGAAAGGATAAACATAAAGTGATGCTGCAATACCAGCAAGTATCTGTGTTCATCCAAGAGGAAATATAAAACTTGTTATATTTAACAGTAATGCTCCTTTACATTCTAGCTGAGAAGATCACCGGGGCAAGTGTGTTTTCCAGGAGGTAAAAGTGAAGCCAGTGATAAAGATGAAATTGATACTGCTCTCCGAGAAGCTAAAGAAGAAGTGGGACTCCAGCCAGAGAAGGTGGAGGTGATCTGTAGGCTGGTGCCTGGAATTGATAAGGTAAGTCAACATAAAATTAGAAAATAGGATGGGTTGTTATATTTTGTGAGGTTGACAGTGACCTTTTCAAACCTCAAGGGAAGAGGGTTTTTTTCTGTGTTTGGTATTTGTCAGACCAGCCTTGAGGCACCAGTTAGTGACACACTGGAGTACCAGAGTGACAGTGCTGCACTGGTGAGAGTTTAGCAGAGAGCCATGAAGACAGTAAGGTGTTAGAGCACATGGATTATGAGGAAACAATGAGAGAGGTGGGTTTGCTCAGTTTGAAAGCCAGCAGGGCTATCTGTTCTCTTCTCCTGGGTGGTTGTAGAGAGGATGATACCAGACTCTTCTTGAGACAGTGGACACCAGCAGCAATGTGGAAGTTTGGATAAGATGCAAGGAAAATACTCTTTACCATGAGGTTAGCCCAAAACCAGAGCAGATGTTCCTGACAGGCTGTGTAACAGGGCTCCAATGTCCTGCTGAAGCCTCACAAGTTTCTCACTCAGTGTCCTGCTGACACCAGGGCTGTGCAGGCAGAAAGGGCCTGCCAGGGGTGATGTGCACTGGGATTCCATAGGAAACTCCATCAGGAGGACTCCCAGAGCTGTCTTTGGAGTGTTGGTCTCTGTTTGTAAATTAACAGGCTGCCAATTTCAATAACAATCTTCAGTGTTGCAGAAGATGCATTTTCCCATAGCACAGAGGGGCTGCTGTTTCTAAAGACTATTTTTGTTCTCCAGGTAACATTTTATTACTGTGTTTTCTGTTTTTCTATCTGTTAGCAATATCCTCTCCCCATTAAAAACCAGAAGAACCGGTTTTGAAATTTTATTGCGAAATGCTTTAGTTAACTTCTTAAATTATAATTTCTATGCAGATGACATTAAAGTCATGTAGCTCAGAGGCTCTGTGTAAAAATGATCAAATTTTCAGTGTTTTCCAGTAAATTGTCTCAGTCAGTAGAAAAGATCGTGTTGGTTTTGGACCTCAAAAATTTTACCTGTCGGAAGCTACTTTGTCTTCTCTGTACAGAATTCCAGGTGATTCTGACTCGGATGGAGTCTCTCCAGCCGTGCATGAAAGAGCACAAATGCTGTTTTGGTGTTACTCCTTTCTACTGAACAATGATCTTTGTTAGTGTGAATAAATAAAGCTAGCAAAATATCTTAACGAATTTTTGTGTGCTCTTGATACAAACTACTATTTCAGTAGATTTTGCCTCCCTATGGGAGAAGGGATTACATTTAAAATTAAAATGTCCATAGATAGGTGGTTTCAAAAAGCGTGTGTTCTATAGCTAGATATGCTTTAATCATATTTCTGTATCTATAGGAACATATTTCTATATTCCAGGAAAATTCCTATATCCTAGGAAAATAGATACAGAAATATGATAAAGCATGGGTGATTTGGAAAATTTAGATTAAAATCAGAATTTGACAAAGCAAATAAGGAAGACCCATGAGAAAGCATGCATGTTTTTTATTTCTGTAGCAGAGTGACAAGCTTTTTTAACTGCAATATGATTATACAGAATGAACTGAATAAACTGAATATTTGTAAAATCATGTTTAACAAATACAAAAAGATAATTTTAAATTGTTAAAACCAAATTACATAGCTTGCCATTAGAGGGACTAAATTGCATTACAATTAAGAATAGTTCATAGGCCTCTTGTACTCATTTTGCAACAGCTGAAATGCTTTTAAAATAAATAACATTTGTACTTGGTACAAACCTAATATGTTTGAGGGTTTTGTTGATAGGGTTTTCTTATTGTTTCTTTTTCTCTCCTTTTAGATGAATCATTTGGTGACACCAGTTGTAGGATTTATAGAGGATGCATTCCAGGCCACTCCTAATCCAGATGAAGTGAGCGAGGTTTTTTTTGTGCCTTTGGAGTACTTCATCAAGCCCTTAAAGTACAAGGCCTTGTCCTATAAAACCTCATCAGGTTCCTTAACTCTGATGCACTGCTTTATATATTATGACCAGGAACATAAAAAGTCATTCAAGATATGGGGACTTACTGCACACTTTGCTGTATTTCTTGCTCTTGTAATTTTTGGAGAGAGACCTACCTTTGAAGTGGATTATGACCTTGACAACTTGATTTCATCCTCCGAGAATTACTTTATTAATTTGTATGCTTCTATATATGAAAGAAAGAAGAGTAATCTGTGACAAACTGGTCTGGCAATCAGTTTATACTGAAGGAGGAAAAAGGGTTTTGTTTATTCCCACTGTACCTGTTATTTGTTTGAAAGTGACACTTGAATTTTTTTCTGA